CAGCCATATAGGAGGAGTTTAGTCACATACACATGCACAGAAGATTTATATGTATAAAGATATAAATTTCCCCTCAAATAAATTTCAAAATGAAAAAAACTTTGAAAATCTGATATTTAAAAATTTTTTAAGAAGAGTCAGATGGCCGCAATTTATGCACTGGCGGACCACAGGCGGCCCGTGGGCAACGTGTTGGACACCCCTGCTCTATCTAACGAATTTTCCAAAAAAAGAACTTTTTTCGGGATTTAGCGACTTTTATATAGAGTATTTTTTTAAAAAGGAAACTTATTTTCCCAACTTTTATTTGTTTCCATATGGCTCCAAATAGTGTAAGTTTAAAAAAAAATCTCCCTGTATTTTAGATAGTACTAGAGTTATATTAATTGTTGCCGCTTGTTTATTTTTAGATAATCCTATCAAATGTGGATGCAGTATTCACTGGATTACTTCTATTGACAGAAGTAAGTGGCGAGGTCCTTGGTTTTCTGGTGAATGCACAGCTCCGAAAGAGCTTGAAGGAAAATCATTGAAAGAGTTAAATAATTCACACTTTCAACATTGTAGAGAATAATAATACAGAGATCCTGTCTTGAAATCTCTAAAAATAATTCCTTGGATTTTCCAAGTCAGAGCTTTTGTAGCTTACATTATTTCTAAATATTTTACTGTCCATAATAAAATTTAAAGTTTATAGGTTTTTGATTCCTATCGATATTTGTTGCAAATTGTGTGGAGAATCAATAAAGAAATAAATTTTCCGATATCAATTGTTAGTCTTTAACTTCAGATTCAAAATGTCACACATACACAAAGTGGTTTATAACTAAAACAATCTTTCTGCTTTTCATTAAAAACATATGTGATTCATACTAGATTTGTTAAAAATAGAAATGTACACACGAGAAATTTTAATAAAAACAAGTAATATATAAAAAAAATTTAAGTCAATTCCTACTTAGATCAACAAAGAAAAATTTTATTTTAGCTACTTTTTATTAAATAGTTACAATTAATATAAAAATGTATATACATAGTGTAAGGGCGCCCCTCCCCCTCGGGTGCTCTTCTCTTTGATTATCAGCGTGAGCTAGAGGTGTAGGAATAAATGAACTAGGAGCTGCCAGGATCTTAATATGACTTTATTAAGACCTTAAACTTAAACCTCTAACATATTAGATAATTATGTGATATGTGAGAGAATCTAAGGTGGTTAAACACACAATATATATAATACCGAATAACGTAACCCGGACCACTATCAATAACTAATTCGCCTAAGCTCAATTCCAATGCTATCACAGATCCGAATATTAAATAGCCACTCCTACCTTAATGTCGCGAATGAAGTAGCGATCAATCTGATCCTAGTTGAAGTTGCGATTCTCTGCAGTGCAATGGTATGCACCTTGACCTAAGGGCTCTCTGTCACGGGTAACTTCTGTTGGCTGTCACTTAACCTTTCAAAAACTCTTCACACTTGAATCACGGACTATCATAACATTCCCCAAATTGCCACCCAACTTACTCTTTCTGATATTTAAAAGCTTCCTAATTTGCATCTTTCATCCACGCTTTACTTCTTGGTTTGGTTGGAAAAGAGTTGCCATTCATTCTGGCCCCAAAGAACCCAAAAGGACATGTTAATGAAAAGACGCGTGGTCCCGTCACAACAGGACAGAATCACAACATTAAGTGGTAATTAATTTTTATTAATTATCATTTTAAAAAATCATTTGTCATCCCAAAACAATCGGTATATAAATTTAGTTCACTGAATGCTTTTTTTAAAGGGAAAAAAACTTTTCAAGTTCTGACACAAGTCACCAAGATGGTCGTTAATTCGCTAAAAATGATGCCTACGTAGCTGTATGTGTAATTCTTTTATTAATTAGTTTCAATCAATTAATTTTTATTAATTACAGTTAAATTATTGTATTGTCATCCAAAATGATCATGTACAAAAAAATTTCAGCTCAATTGAGCGCTTTAAAATGTATTTTATTAATAAACAAACAAATATATAGAGAGAGTGAGTTAATAATAGGAATTGAATAAATAAAAAATAATTAAATCAGGAAACTTCAAGGATTTTTAAAATATAATGAAGCTTTAGATGGGATTTCTATTATTATAAGTAAAATTATATAGGTTATTCTGTGTTGTAAACACAGTGCGTAAAATAAGTTTTAAGACTGTGTCCGTAAAAAGAAATGGAAACAAGAAAATTAATTCCTGTTTTGGTTTTTTATTCAAAATAGGACCCTCCGGCTTCAATGCACTTGTGCAGTGATTTATTAATGAATTGAATGCCTGTTGTAAATCACTTTGTAGAATGGCTTGTAAAGCCTACATCGAAGCTACTTGTAAGGTCGAAATATCTTTAAAATAACACCCTTTTAATTTCATTTTAAGTTTCGAAAAATAAGGAGTAAGGTGCTAAATCAGGTGAATACGATGGATAGCTCTACACACTGACATTACTTTTTTGCCAAAAATCGATGAACAAGGGAGGTGTAATTGGGTGCATTGTCGTGTATACACACACAATTTATTGCAAAATCCTCCAAAAATACTAGCGTGTGAAGCCATTTGTACCAATGGAGCTTGTATTATCTTGGAAACAGTGCATACTAATTAGGAATGCTAAAACTTTAATAATATTTATGAAAATGTTCCATAGTTTCTGAGAACGTTCACAAAAATTAACCTTTAGTCGACATAATTCACAGAAATAGGTAATCCAACCATCAAAGCCATTTTGATGATTATGTTAAAAGCGTTTATCTTATATGATGTTTTTAAACGCATTATTCATCCGATATATAACTATTTTTAATTCTTTTTCATTAAAGAGGTTATCAAAAAGCGTATGTTACACTATCAGGAAAACCGACAAGTATATTCAATTTATACCATATGACGAGTTATCTGATTTGGAGAAAGTTATGGTTATATTGGTGTGGGAAAAAAGAAACGAGTCTTACAGAAGTCGCATATGTTGTGTAACATCTGACATGTTATCGTGGTAAATACGCAATATTAACTTTTTCCTGAAAAAAATATGAAAAAATCGGGTATGATTGGAAATAATTTTCTATCGAATAAAATTATATCTTTAAATGAAAATTGTATTTAATTAACAAAAGGAGTAATGTGCAATATTTTATCAAAAATAATTATTCTTGTTCAATTTGGGGGAAAAGCGGAGTTTGATTTAAAAAAAAATATTACTCGCATTTCAGTTTAACCGGAGGCTTTTAAAAGGACCACGTTTAATGAAAAACCAATGGTTTATTTTACGTGGACGACACCTTTAGCGGCCCCCCTTTAAAACCCATTCAAACAGGGGAAAGGGGTGTACTTTTGACAGATTTCGTTATTGGTGTACAAAGCGGGTTTTTAAGTTTTTATTGGGTTCGACCATGAATACTGTTTTTCCATTTTCAAAAAACCTTTAACCATGCCCCTACCGGCAGCGGGGAAAGCGGAGGGGGGAAAAAGATTACGGGGGTAGCAAAAATATGACACATATACTTGTGATTTTAAAGTATTTAAAACCGTTGAAAAACAGCGTCAATAACAGTACCACTGTTAGCAGTCGAAACATTCGAATTTGTGTTCATTTCGAGCTTGAGTTCATCATTCATAAAAACTATGAGCGGCTCAGCTTTTGGCAAACTGAAGTTAAAGTTAAAATCACCACTCAAAATCAGGGGAAGCGAGTGATAATTTTTTAAAAGAGCAGAACCACCTTCGTTATATGGTAAAAGTACAAAATGCAGGAAATTTTTGATTTTTTTAACCGTTTGATTCGAAGAAATGTATACGACCACCGAAATCACTGTTTGTCCATTTTCAAATAAGCATTCTGCCACACTTATGTCCCCCAATATCGTGACTAACGGATTTAGAGTCAAGCGCTCGAGTGTTTGATGGGTATTAGAGTTGGATCCCCATGTGAGGGTAGCGAAAAGACACAGCCACGCACTCTCATTGGTCAAATCAAGTATCGCGCGCTTACCTCACATCCTGTTACACACATCCGTCCCTTTTCACGAAATCACTCCCACAAGGTTTAACACAGAATCGGCCACAGAATCAGATAATTTGGTATTTTTTGTTGATATTGTGAATCATGAGCTCTATTTAAATATTTTAAAGAGAAATTTTAAATTATCCCTGAAAAATTTGGATATTGGAAACGACTTCATTTTTTAACAGGGTAATGACGCCAAGCGCACAGCTCTCAATGTACGCCCCTGGTGTCTCTATAACTGTTCCCAAATTATGAAAACACCTTCTCAATCACTTTATTTAGCCCAGTAGAGCATATTTGGTGAGATTTTGATGTAAAAAAAAAAAGAAAACATGACAAATAAACTCAAAACGTGAAGTAAAAACAATAATCACAGAAGAATGAAGGAAAATCGATGCAGAAATTACAAAAAACTGATTAAATCTATACCAAGATGCTTAAAAGTGGTTGTAGACACTAAAATCTATCCTACTAAGTACTAAATTAAGGAAGAAATACAATATTTAAGGCTAAGTTGAGATTTTTGAGTGTACGAAGACATTTGTGGCGTAATTTTTAGTAGCTTTTTGATTATTAATTTTTTTAAAAAATAGTTATACTATTTTTAAAAAATTAATTTTATGTTATTCCATTAAGAACAAGTTGCAGATATAAAAAAATTACAATTACAGTATATTAATTTTTATTAGTCGAAAACATTCAATTTTATAAGAAATTGCAAGTGTACGAACACTTTTGTGGCCCACTGTAGTTACAATTAATATAAATATGTATATACATATGACAGAATCCCAATAATAAGTAACGAAATAGAAACCGATTTTCCTTGCAATTTTCCATTTTTCTTCCTATATAGAGTATTGGACTATTTTTTTTGTAACAATTTATTCATTCATTAAATTTAATTATTCTAATAAAATGATATAGCAAAAAAAAAAATCCGCTTTCTCAAAAACTATTCCATCCCAGGTGGGATTTTAACCCACGATCTTCGGATTAGAAGTCCAAAATGCGCTGCCCATTGCACAACAGGGACACAACGAACAACTTTCTTTTCTATATATGCTGTTGGACTATTATTTTTGTTTGTTACTATTTATTCATTTTTAATTGAATTAATGAATTAATACTTAAAAAAACTGTATTAACATCAAGTGTCATCCACTACAAGTTTAAAAAAAAATGTATTTGAACTTGAATGTATGAATAGAAACAATTTGAACAGGATATATATATATATATATATATATGTAAATATATATATAGGGAAAGAGTGAGCTAATAGTAGGAATTGAAAAAACATTATCATTGCACATAAATAAATTCATTATGCAAACTTATACGCTGTTTTAATTGGCAAATACGGAGACGCATGAGTTCCTCTTAAATTTTTCATATTTTTTATTTAGTTATTTTGCTCCAGCCTGCCCTAAAACATTTTAAACATCTTGAAACTTGAGAATATGTTTTGTTTTTCTAATAAATAACAAATAACCAATGGTCACTACTTTATAAGCATGTACAGTATACTCGTCAATACACAAAATCCTACAACTTTTCCTTGACCAGTATACTCGTCAACCACAGCTAAGAGGACTTAGTACCCCAAAAATGACTGAACTATCATTTTTAAAAAATTTTTATTTAATCTTATTCTTTGCATTATTATCTTTCGATTGATACATCACTTTTGCATGTCGGATAAGACTTCATTTGAAAAATGTAAATTAACAAACTAGGCAATTCAACCTTTTAGAAAAAAAAGTATTTTTATAAAAAATTTCATTTTAGAAAGAGAAATAATAACTATAAAAAAAGGTGTAATATATATAAAGTAGAGGATATTACCGAGGCATTTCAATAATGTAATTTTTTTTCTTTGTGAAATGTATGCATGTAAAATTTTCGAATTAAGGCATTTTATGTTAATAATTTCATAATTCAGTACTTATTTCCCATATGTTTTTCATACAAATATAATACTTCAATATTATGTAAAAAAAAAGCTGAAATTTCTGTCACGACAGAAAAAAATTTTCTTAAACATTTTTCTTGAATTTTCTTGTGCAATTAATACTCTATAAAAGTTGATTATTTTTAAAAATGTATGGGTTGAAAAATACGAAAATGCCATTATTTTAAAGAAAAATATATAACTAATGTTTTAAAGTAGTTTTTTAAGTTTATTTAAGCTTATTATAATAATTATTTTTTCAGAATTATGAACCTGAAAATGGATTTTCTCAGTTTGTGCTTTTTGATACATTAGTGCATTCACAAAATGCTACTCCTTCCACAATTATTTACCAATCACTTCCATCTTCTTCCTGTATGTTATATACAAAGCATGTAACAATATTAGCAATCCGTTTTACTGTAAACTAAGTACTTTTTTTTAAAAAATTAAAATGTAGGACATATTGGCTTTTTCGCTAAATTTTAGCATGCATATCAGCTTCTTATTTTTTTTCCTCGAAAACAAATTAAGTTATTGTAAAATCGATCCCTAAGGGTTGTTTAGTACATCCATAAGAATGTAAAAATTCAAGATCAAAAAATTAATAATTACAAAAGGAGTAAAATTTTCCAAAATTTTCTTCAAAAAATTTCAATTTTTAAAATTGGGAGAATAATATGTGAAAAATTTCATGTCGTATCAATTTCTTGAATAGAAACATTATAAAAATGCTAAAATATAATTTTAAATACACAAATAAAGAAAGTTGTTCAAAGGGTACCAAGTCCTCTTAACTGGTTCAGCAATTTATAGCACCGTATATTTAAGCTAATTTTCCACTTCAGCATAACACTAAAACTGTAATTCATATATTCATAAAATGCATTATTGCAATTTCAGATAAAGTCATGTCCTTTAAACCTTTGTCCTTTGCCATGATGAATTTCGTGGGCCTCTATCTGGCACATGTCAATCAGGAGGTATTTTTTTTTAATAACAACCTTTAAACCATCATCAGATTTCTTTTGAAAGAAGTAAACAGTATGCAAATGAATTATAAGTCAGCGGAAGGTCCAGATAAAAAAATGTACAGTCAACAAATATTGAAGGATAAAAACATCCTAACGCCCATGTATCGTCATTTCATCTAAGCATGTGACATAACCCTTTAACCTCATCCCAGCGAACATCTCATTTTCACCATGGAGTTGAAAATCTCGCTGCTTAGCGTTTTGCTCTTCGTATTTGTTTCAGTGTGTTTGTCTACTGATCCAAAGGACATTTGCCCACCGAGAAACCTTATAGAACCCTGTTATTGTGAAAAATTTTGTGTTTATTGTCATGTCAGTCTGAAGTGTAGGGAACTGCTCAATCAAGAAGTTTTGACTGATGTCGTAAGAAAATCTAACGATTACCAATATGGAACTTTTGAGCTCAGAGATTCCAGTGTGCAGTACATACCTTCTTCGATTTTTTCCATACAAAAAATCGAGAGTTTATACATCTTTACGTCATCTTTGGTGTCCTGGTTCGACAAGGCACCTCAAGTAGATTATGATCTTGATGTTTTACATTTGAATGAAGTTAGAATGACTCGCAGAGTTCAGTTTGACTTGTTCTCTGGCATCAAAAGCCTAAAACGGTTGTCCATCATGCACACCACAGTACGACGTTTAGACGAAAACTTCATAAATAACATACCAAAGAACTTAAAACAACTTGTAGTCTACAACTGTTCTCTATCTAAACTGGATGACAATATCCTCAAACTGTTTACACAGCTTGAGAGTGTAGAGATAGACACTGGAAAGATAAGAGAGGTGAAGAGAAGTATGTTCCGACAAGACCTAGTAATTTAAAGTTAATTTCCTTCAGGTAAGAAAAGTTATCTTTTTTTCCCTTCTCCCTGCTGTTATTTAACAAGTTATCTATATACATATAGGAGAGACTCACTCACTCATTACAATACCTTCAGAACAATGAAACCTACAGACTTGAAATTTTGCAGGCATGTTCATTTTATTCAGTAGAGATCTGCTAAGAAATGGTTTTAAGGTATCCGACCACGTTCGGAACCGTGATTTTGCAAAAGCGTATAAATGGATAATAATTAGGATATTTAGTGTCACTTAGATTAGAAAATGTATATAAAATTGTTTTAAGAAGAGTATTACAATAAAAAATTATTTAAATACAATATTTTGACAAAAAATGAACATAGAATGACCCATTTCAAAATATTCTTTCTGTGAAAAAATACTTCAATTATAATATTTTGCCTGTATATAGCTTAGATCTCTGTACAGAGGCTCAACTAGAATTTTTGAAATATATAACTTAAAAGTGGGTTTATCCATGTTTTACGACAACAGGGGAGAAATTTTAAGAAAAAACGCCGATAATTATTTCAATGAGTTGCAACTCTGAAAATAATGTGAATTTTTCAAAAATCATAGTTGAGCCTCTGTACAGAGGTCTGAGCTATATACAGGCAAAATATTATTATAATAGAAGCATTTTTCACAAAAGGAGAACATTTTGATCTTCTAAGTTAATTTTTTGCCGAAATATTGTATTTAAATAAGTTTTTTTTTTTTGTCAAAATATTCTTAAAATAATTTTATACATGTATTCTAATCTAAGTGACACTAAATATCATGAAAATTATCCATTTATGCGCTTTTTTAAAATCACGGTTCCGAACGTAGTCGGATACCTTAAGGAAATCGACTCCCAATAGCTTATGGGGTCGTTAAGGACGAAAATTCCCGTTTTTGATTAGACATTCAAATGCTAAATTTGGAAGGAATGTTTCTTTGTTGAGTAGAAATCCCCTAAGAATGGGTTTTGTAGCTAGGTTACGGGGGCGTTATACACTAGAATTCTCGTTTTTGAATTATTAGACGTATATTCTTGAAATCTGGAAGACGGTTTGCTTAGTTGAGGTGAAATCCGCAACGAACGGGTTTCATTAAGGTAGACTTCTACGGAGTACGGTTCGTATCAGATAAAAAATTTCTATTTTTGAACAATGAGATCTACAGACTTGACATTTGGCCAATTTGTTTTTGTGTTGAGTGGATATTTATTAAAAGAGAATTTTAATTGAATCGACTTCCAAGAGGGTTGCGGGGGTGTTATGGGTTTTAAAAATTCCCTTTTTGAAATGTTAGACCTACAAATCTCAAATTTAGCAAGCATTTTTTCTGTTGAATAGAAATCCACCAATAATGGGTTTTGGAATAAAAAAAGGTATTCGAAAGGTTTGGGGGGGGTTATAGATAAAAAATGTTTTTTTAATGATTTTACCACCAACTTAAAATTTTTTCCATACTTCTTTTGTTGAGTAGAAGTGCACTACGAATGGGATTTGAGGAAATCCACTCCCAAGGGGTGGATTTACTAGGGACGTGAAAAATAATTATATTTCTTTGGAAAATTTCCCCTTCTTTTTTTTAAAGAGTGTGTCGGGCATGGAACCCGGGACCTGTGGATCTGAAGCCGATAAACTTAACCACAAGACAAGAGTAATCCCCTCTGTGCGGAGGCTGTTACTGGCTTATATAGGAACCGCTACACTACTTCCTCGCCATTGAGTCGGCGGACAGGCGAATGAACGAGATATTTGTTATGGCGAGCGTGAGTAGCGTGTGTTGTTGCTGTTGCGTCAAGTGAGTCTGACGACTTTGGTTGCTGCGTCAAGTGGGTCTGACGACTTGGATGCTGCGTCAAGTAGGTCTGACGACTTTGGTTGATGCCTCAAGTAGGTCTGAAGAATTTTTGGTTGATGCGTCAAGTGGGTCTGACGACTTTTTGGTTGATGCGTCAAGTAGGTTTGACGACTTTTTGATGCGCGGGGTCGACGACTTTTTGGTTGATGCGTCAAGTGGGTCTGACGACTTTGATTGCTCTTGTTGTGGGTAGATGTCAAAAGTTGAGTCTTTTCTTAGCTCAGTCTAGGTCACCAATGTGCAGGATTAGAACTCGTGACCCTTGAATCCGAAGCCTAGTAACTTAACCACTAGACAAAAGTGATCACCTCTGTCCGGAGGAAAAGAACCGCAGAAAGATATAGAAAC